GACGCCGTGGGTGATGGTGTAAGCGACGTCATGGGTGACGGTGTGGGTGATGGTGTGAGCGACGTTGTGGGTGACGGGGTGAGCGATGCGGTGAGTAACGTGGTGAGCGACGCTGTGGGTGATGGTGTGAGCGACGTCATGGGTGACGGGGTGAGCGACGTCGTGGGTGACGGTGTGGGTGACGGTGTGGGTGACGGTGTAAGCGACGTTGTGGGTGACGGTGTGAGCAACACGGTGAGCAGTGACGCGGTGAGCGACATGATGAGCGACGGGGTGAGCAACACGGTGAGCACACAGCAGCCTTCATGAACGCAGCCTCAGCTGTAAAGTCCACTAATCGGGAGGCTGGAACAAACGACTGGGTGCTTTTTCTGGATAAAATATGTCACAAAAATGAGAAGAAAGTTGTTCTCATTTAACTTTCATAGCTAAGAGAACAGGTAAGACAAGCTGTACCACAAAAACAAAAATACTGCCAGATACGCTGACGGCCGTATGGTTAGCATAACCCTAACCGTCCCACTATGTACACAGGTCTGACAGCCTTAATGTATATTTAATGGTATTTAATGAATGTACTTGTGTGAACACGTACATTTATTCTCCTGATCACTGTGAAATAAACGTGGCCCTCTAGACCTCATCCCGACACACATGTTCATGTTCTTGCTGTTGAAGCCACAAAAAGGCAGCAGTGAACCAAAGGGGTCATTTTATCTTTCACAAAATATTTTAATCATAAAACTGCAATCCAGATATTTTTCTTGACTTGCAGCTTTTAGACTTATTTTGTCTGTTTGTTAGTTGCTGTGGTGGACCGACCCGATCCCTAGAATGTGACCTCTGAGTACTGCCAAGGACAATATGCAGAACAATTAACAAGAACGTCATTTCAACGTTTCCTGGGCACGAGCACACACTACATGGAAGTTTATCGACTTCCATTTATGGGAGAACACCTGGCTGACCGCGCTGTTGGTCGATACACGCATACACGGCGTTCAGTCTGTACGCAAGCTTGGTTTGGATCAGAGACCATGAACTTTGCTTAATAGTCAGTTTAACCTGGTGAACCAGAAAGAGTAAAAGTGACACCCAAAGGAACTTGTATCTATGGACTTACATGCTGCTTGTCGCCATAGAAACAAGAGGCAAGACAAAGCAGGGAGCAGAAACTTTCTAAGAACCCCCACCCACAACTTGTCATAGTAAATGCTAACGCTAACCCTTCCTTAATGATCAGAAAAGTCAGCTGTTGCTGGCCTAACTTGCCAGTTTGATGTGAAGACAGCAGCTGTTCTCTGAGCTTGGCCTCCGACTGCTACAGTCCGCTGGATGGTAGTCTTCCTGCCGTCACAGGAACTGCAGCGTTCTGACTGTAATTCTCACCATTTTCTCTGAGAGTGTCTTTGGACGCTCACAGAAATGTTTGGCGTCTGCAGCACAGCCTGGATGAGGCTGAAGCGCTACTACGTCTGGCTCGAACAAATGTCACCTGGAGTTCAGAGAAATGAATGGATGCATTCTGCGCTGATTTTGTTTGTTGCTATGCGTTCTGCTCTTGACATATTAAGCAGAAGCTGTCTGTGGTAGAGTTAACCCCTGACAAGCATCCTGACAGTGAATGCCTCCTTCACTGCTGATCCAATGCATTTATGACGGTTCAGCATTTCATGTCAGTAACAGGACTGGAACCGACTGAAAGTATTGAAGGAATACTGCCATTCATGTGAATTTACATGTATTCCTGAACAACGTGTGCCTACTTGAGCACATTTAAATATTCAGTTTCATGAATGTTCTCTGATCTTGAGCAGAACAAAAACCGTGCAGCTGCATCAGGATCATCTGACCCGTTTGTGGTCGTTCATCGGATGAAATACTCTGTTTTGGAGCTAATCTCCATCAATCACTGCTGGTATAAATCAGGACACCACCTTCAATTAAAGGAAAACACACGACGTCAAAGATCAGTCTTACAGATCCGCCTAATAAAATACGTAATGACTGAACTCATAACTACTACTAAAGGCTTAGGGTTAGAGATTAGCAGCATTCGCTCTTATTCAACATGAAGCTGACCAGCAGATACACACCAAAGCACTGATGCCAGGAGTGTGCCAATGGTAACGTGTCTTTCTCATTGTTCTGATTTCACCATGTGCTTAGGCAGGAACCCACAAGTTAGATCAGAGACAGGAGGTTTGGTTCGTCTTTGTTAGCAAGGCCCCTCCAGAGCAGGCCTGGATACAAGATCTCTGGAGAATTATGGTGTCAAGTTAATAAAAGATTATGTGACGCCAAACAGTGTGTCTGGGTTCAGCTTAATTACTGGTAAAGATACCAATGCGCTGATTCATAACCAATCAAATAATACGCTCTGCAAACTGAATGGAAACAGCAGCTGTACATGAACAGAAGGAGCTCTGTGCTTAGCCATGTGCACGGCTATGCTAGTCATACTGTCATGTTAGCTGCATGCATCTGCCCAGGTGCCAGTCCATGACAGATGAAGCATTCCTCTGTTTCCCTCCATTGGTCTTAATACTGGTGTCAAGCTTGGATGAGACGTGGCTCTAGTGGTAAATGGAGTGTTTGCTGTGCAGGTTTCGGATGCTGCAGACTGGAGGAAGCTGATCACTGCTTTGTTCACAGAGTTAGCAGCTTGGTCTTATCAGGATCTGTTGCTCCTTACATTAACTGGCCGACCTGTGACTTGGCTGCCGGAGTGATCAAAATCAGTTATAAAACTGTAGATCTGTTCGACCTGTAGGTGAGCCTGGTGGAATATGGGCCTTGACATGCCATAATGGCAGTCTCTCCAGACATTTCATGATAACCAATGTCAGGGCCGCAAGCCGGTGATCATTCAGCGATGTGATGGCAGACGATTTGGGCAGGCATGACAGTGGCAGTCTTCAGGCAGGTGGGGACGGTGGTTTGCTGCAGTGAATGGTGACAGATGTTGGTGAATACTGCAGCAAGCTGATGGTCACGTCGACCTGGTCTAATGTTCAGCCGTTCCTTGTTTTAATGTCCACATTTTTGTGGGCATTTTGTGTGGCCCAGGTGGTAGAACGGGTCGGTCAATGATTAGAAGGTCGGTGGTTCGATTCCGCCCTGTAACCTGTGTCATGGTCGTTGTGTCCTTGGGCAGGACACTTCACCACCTGCCTGGTGTGGATGTGTATGAATGGCGTGTTGAGGTGGTGGTCGGAGGGCAGAATGGCAGCCGGGCCTCCGTCAGTCTACCCCACTGTGGCTACAGCTGGAGCTACCACCACTGGATGGATGTGTGTGGATGAATGAGTGACAGTGTTCTTTGAGTGTCTAGAAGAGCTCCATATAAAGCTGATCAATTATTATTGTCTTTGTCTAATATTAAATAATTGTGAATATTACTTTGATGAAAATAGAAGACATGAGGAAGATATGGGCAGGATGGCATGTTTCCTTGAATGATTGAATTATCATTTGAAAACCTTTGTGTTGTTGGCTTATCTTTGTTTTCAACCAAAATGAGTCTTAAGATGTGAAACGTTTATGTGAGCAATATGCACAAATGATACCAGAGAGGTCTGCTGGGGGCAAACGCTTCTCCACAGCACGGTGCATGTATTTACATGTATGGAAGCTTCTGTTCACCACTCTAGATAAACTGTATGTTATCAAGCATTATCCATCATAGCATGCAGGTCAGAGCCAGACTTTCTGTTGCTTGTGTCCTCGCCTGCACAGCATAGAAGTGACAGAACAGGACAGACCTCGATACCAGCACGCACTTTAATCTGCAGCACCAATAAGAGTGAAAAGGTTTAGACAGGCTTTCTGAGGCTCAGGGGGACAAACACGAGACTGTTTTTATAGGTGACAACCAGTGAACAGGGACCTGCGGCGATGGCTGCTTTCTTTGTTCATCTGTCTGTCTGTGGTGGAGGTCTGAGGCAGCCCTGCAGCAATGTGCAGTCAGTCACATCACAGCTCACCTGGTGTGCATCTGTGTGTGCTGAACACTACATTGTCCACCAAACACACACATCGCATTCCCAAAGGCCAAAGCAGAGATGTACAGCTCAGAACTGACCTGGATCCCATCAGGAATCTGTGGAGGAAACTGAAGGCTAGAGTGACATCAGAAAAAGTCTTGGTCCATCTAGTCAACAAAACAACCACAGTAAACTGTGCAGTCCACCCCAATAACCATGAAATAAATGCAGAAGAAGTCCTGCCCCATGCACAGGAGTCCTCATCACCAGACCATCAACCTGTTCAGCAGATTCTGTGAAATTTCCAACAACTTGCTGGTACTCATTGGCAAACCCATTGGTATTTGTTCATTTATAAAACTATCATAGGTCAAACTCCGGCATACCTACGTTCACTACTCATCACCCGTCACATCAGCCGCTCACTTCG